GGGGGGGGGGGTGGGGGGGGGGGGGGGGGGGGGTGTTACTGGGTCAGACGAGTGAGACTGTACCATGCATGAGTGTGTTATGTGGTTTTGAGTTATATCTCTCCGTGCACGTAGTCTGTCGGATACACTGCACTAGAAGAAACACTACGCTCTCTCTGTTTAAATCTAGATTAAAGACACATCTCTTTGGCCAAGCATTCAAGTAATGTATCTCATAATCTTGTACTGCAGTTATATCTGATCAAATGCACATTATTATTCTTTAGTTTGGGTTAAACAAATCAATTTTGCTTGGTTGGAACAGCAGCTACGCTAATTATGTCTCTATTTGTTTCTCTGTTATTGACATCCCGTGGTAACTAGGATTTACACAAGCTTCAGTCTGGATCCAGAGCACCTGAGAAGAGATGATGCCAACCCCTCAGAGGACCTCAGATGATGCCAACCCTGAAACAACATACAGAACTACCACATTTTGCTGCTATAAGTTTGATTGCATCATATAATAATTGCTGTTAATAGTGTTCATCGTCTGTTTGATTACGTCTTTAATTGATTTTTCCGTACATTTCTGCCATATGTACATTAACTGACAGTCATCACGGATAAGCTACCACTAAATATTGTAGAAACTTCATTTGCTGTAAAGTTGCTTTGCAACGATTTGTATCGTGAACAAATAAACTTGAATTGAATTGAATTGAATTGAAAAACATGAGATGCAGTGGGATAGGGAAAAACTCTTGAGACATGTTTTTTTTAAAGTTGAACATACTCATGTTTATTTTACATGGCTTTCTAAACATGCAGCTCTCTTGTGCGAGACGCAAGTGCAACAGTGATAGATGTCCCTCTAGAAAATGTGATAAATACGTGTTCTCTGTGAACGGCTTGGTTTCAGTTTTGACGTAAACAAGATCTTCTCCACATTGATTGTTCTCTTTTTCCGCAATATTTTGAATGAACAATGTAGCAGCGCCGCATCTAGTGTCAGCCGGTTGGGGCTTCGGGTCAACTGGGAAAAGAGCAAACTCTCTCCGGTGCAGAGGATCTCTTTTCTCGGCATGGAGCTGGACTCGGTCAACCTCTCAGCACGTCTCTCAGTAGAGCGTGCACAGTCGATGCTGAACTGCCTGGGGTCTTTCAAGCACAAGAGGACGGTTCCCCTGAAAGAGTTTCAGAGGCTCCTGGGGCATATGGCATCCGCAGCCGCTGTCACGCCGCTCGGGTTGCTTCATATGAGACCGTTTTAGCATTGGCTTCGCGGCCGGGTCCCGAGATGGGGCATGGCGACACGGCACATACCGGGTTTCAGTCACCCTGTTCTGCCGTCAGACCTTCAGCCCATGGTCAGATCTTGCCTTTCTTCGGACAGGGGTGCCTGCATATGGCAAACAGTATGGCTTGCTCTGCGCCGCTTCAAATCGCTGCTGCACGACAAGCATGTACTGGTCCGTACGGACAACACTGCGACCGTTGCGTACATCAACCACCAAGGCGGTCTACGCTCCCGTCGCAAGTCGCAACTCACCCGCCATCTCCTCTGGAGTCAGAAGCATCTGAGGTTGCACGGACGCACTGGCATGCAGCTGGCCTCGGGGCCTACGCAAATAT